CATCTGTGTGTGAAAAAAGGAAGAGAGAGAAACAAAGAGAATTTAAATATTTTTTATTTCCCGACGTCAAAAAAAATGCGTGTGCATTAGGGTGGTCCACAAATAGTAAAGTCGGAATTTAAATACTCTTACCCTCTATATCGAAAAAATATGCCCATATTTTTTATTTTGAAATCAAAAAATATTTAGAGGTCGCTCAAAGCGCTCAACGTTTTCCCATGCATTTTATATGGAAAAGAAAACCAATTTTTATTTTAAATCGCACAGAATTTTTGAAAATCAATATTTCTTATTGGAAAACTCTGTTCCTCTTCAGGAGACTTCCTATAAAATATAGTTACTATGAAAAAAATTTTTAAATAAATAATTGAGTATTAGTACTGGGAATCTTCTGAAGAGAAACAGAGTTTTCCGATCAAAAAATATTGACTTTCAAGAACTCTTTATTATTTCTACGAAAAGTGGCTTTTTTCCATATAAAAAACATGTACAACTTTGGCGCTTTGAGCGATCTCTAAATATTTTTTGATTTCAAAAATAAACAAGTAAGAAAGTCTAAGTTCGGGTGGAGCCGAACATTAAATACCCGGCGCAAGTATTAAATATATGTTTTTTCACCTCTCCGAAAGCTACCGCTAGATGGTAAGCCGGGGTGTATCAATTTTGAGTAAATTAGCGTCCTTAAATTTCGAAATATTGCAGTTTCAAGCATTTGTGAAATTTACCGTTATATGAAAAGCGGCCGTAATTTTAGTCCGATTTCAATAATTTTCAACGTTTTGCTTTTATGTGGCAAGCACAATAAAAATACCGAGTTTGGTACAAATTGGTAGAACAGTTACCGATATACATATATGTGATCATAAGCGGGCGGTGCCACGCCCATTTTCCAAAATTTTACCATAAACGTATTTCTTTGTAAAGAATTGTTGCAAGCATCAATTTTGAATAAATTAGCTTTAATATTTACTGATTTATCGAAGATTTTGTATTTCTCTAAATTACCGTTATATGGGATGTGGGCGTGGTTATTGTCCGATTTTTTAAATTTTCGGCCATTTAGTATGTAAGGCCAACACTGCGCCAAGTTTGGAAGAAATTGGTGCAGCGGTTAACCATAAGTGGGCGTGGCTACGCCCATTTTCCAAAAAATTATATTATTCTTATTTTTCGTCTGAAGGTTATTGTAAATATCAATTTTGAGTGAATTATCTTCAGTAGTTACTAAAATATCGCAGTTTTCGTATTTCTGGAAATTACCGATATATGGGAAGTGGGCGTGGTTACAGTCCGATTTTGCCCATTTTGAATACCAACCTACCTTGGGTTAGCGGAAACCTACGTACCAAATTTCGTTGAGATATCTCAATTTTTGCTCGAGTTATCGTGTACACGGACGGACGGACGGACGGACAGACGGACGGATAGACAGACATGGCTTAATCGATTTCTCTATTCATTCTGAGCATTTATGTATACATTTGCTGTTACAAACAACCGTTATGTGAACAAAATTAATATACCCTTGTGCACAAGTGCGCTCGGGTATAATTAATCACTAACCAACTCAGTATTGTAGAAGCGATAGAAGACACCAGCTATTATAGCCCAGCTAAGCAGTGTACAAAGAAGCAGCTCCCAAGAGAACATAAAGGGGCTGTCATACTCATAGTTCTCCATTAGGTCGTCACCACCGAAAATTGAGCTGAAAGTAAAAGCGGGCGCGATTATTTGGTTTTGAAGAAAAAATAGCATATCTTTCGCCTTTCAACTTACTTGAAGAACAAAACTGAAGGCACTTCATAGCCTATATATTTGTACGACTCATTGCTGTTGGCCATGCTAGCGTTTATCTCTACCATATTTTTTAGCTTGCAGGACTACATATTAACACATTGCGGAAAAGTTATAAAATAATTAGTGGTTAGAACGTATTCTTATTTCAGTATATGTATTCTTATTTACGTGCTCGACTTCCGTATCGGTGCTATTTTTCAGCCAACTCTCTACTGCTTCACAGCTCCAAGGTATGGTCGGGCGCAATGAGTGAAATAAGTAAAGTAGTGGCACAGCAGCGAACATGCCGTAGTAGGAGAGCACAGCCAAATTAACGCATAAGCTAATATAGCCCAAGCCTGGAGAATTTGTAATTTGTAGTAGATAGTTATAATAAGTGTCTTTTTCAGTTTGTAGAAATTTGCTTACCTTTAAAAATAGGCGAAATGCGAAACGCTGATATAAAACCGCTGCTGGAAAATTGACCCATAAATGATTGTATTACCATAATTGGCACCACAAAGAGAATCACGCAAATGATGTATGGAATGATGGCACCTGTGTACAGTGTACGAAAATAAATTATAATGTACGTAACGTTTATTACTTCAACAGTCAGTTCGGTACAATACAGAAACAAAACGGCTAAGTTCACTTTGGCGATAGTACACTACACTCGTTTAGTCATTACAGACGAAACAACAAACGAAATGAATCGTGCAAAGATATATATTTGTACATACATACATACACAAACTAAATACAAAACGAATGCCCGAAGGAATAGAAAAGAAAAATCATTTGAATATAATATGAAAATTGACAGAAAGAAAACATACTTTTTTACTTCCCCAGCCGGCAAAACCATCGTAAACGAGCTCGTAACTGGATATTTTTTCGAAGAAAACCCGTATAAAATGTCGTTATGATAGCCGTTTACGATATACATAATAAAATGTTGTGGTTCCAGAAAAATTCCCAACAAAATGAAAAATTGTTCTTGTGCTGACAAATTACTACAAGCCTCTTTCTATTGAATTTTTTGTTTTATCGTTTACGAGACTTTCTTTATCTTTTTGCCGATCGAGAATCTCTCGTGAAATATAGTGTTGTAAAATGTACGTTTTCTTGCTGGCTGGGTAATTGAAACGTTTGCATCCATGTACAACGTACTTGATGGTAAAATTTTCACAAACAAAAAATAAAAGACAGTTAATCATACAATTCGTTTCTGACTATGTACAAAACTGTATAAAATTACAAATGATATGATGATCAATGAGCAAATGGGAATTATTCTGTACGGTTTATTTTCTTACCCTGCCTATGTAGGAAGGGTAAAAAAAATTAAGTAAATAGAGTTCATAGAAAGTTTAATGTACATTAGAGTGGTCCAAAAATGTATGTAAAAAAAATAAGGTCGCATTTTTAATGCCGTCACCCCCTAGGATTGTTCTATACCGACAAAAAATATGCCCCTATTTTTTTTTTTTTTTTTTAATAAAAAAAATTTAGGGAGTGCTCAAAGCGCTCAAAGTTTTCAATGTATTTTATATGGGGAAAAAACCACTTTTCGTAGAAATAGTGTAGAATTCTTGCAAATAAATATTTTTCGATCGGAAAACTTTGCTTATCTTCAGGAGATTCCCAGTAATAATACCCAATTGTTCCTTTAACCATTTTTTCATGGTAACTATATTTTACCAATAAAAATCTTTAATCCTAAAAAATGGTTAAATAAACAATTGGATATTAATATTTGAAGTCTCCTGAAGAGAACCACAGTTTTACGATTGAAAAATATTGATTTTCAAAAGTTTTACAAAGGTGTAAATATTCTCTGTTCTCCCAATGTTTGGTGTGATTTTTCCATTGTTCCAAAAATTCTTTTCCCGAAATTATGCAAAAAGAAGCTGAAAATCGAAAATTACATATATTTGCAAAGTCGCGCGTAAAGATCCAATTAAATATACGAAATCTAAATAAAATTTTCTAAAATATGCGTCTCATTTCAAAACCTGACGAACCGGTATTCACAAATTTTTTTTTACTAATAATCTGTAGCGTCTACATTTCAACATAGGAAAACACCAAATAAATGGTAAATACCATCACTTGAATATTCCACGACACTTAAATAAATGGTTACGATTTCAGTATTTTTTTGTAAACGTACCATTCGAGGAGTGGGGCAGTGAGTAAATGATATGAAATTTTGTATTTCTGACTTTTACTTAGGTCTCTCTAAGCCCAACAGTTTTTAACTACTGTCGCCCTGACTTTTTTCCACCTGCCTTCATATAGTCGAACCAATGTGCGACGCCTAGATTCGGCCAAAAAACGTTTTTTTTTTCGAAAGACTCGAAGGTGTACGGCAGACTTTTGTTTTTTTTTTTGCCTGTAAAGTGGTAGAATATGGTCTAATGTACATTCTTATGTGCATGCGTAAATATTTTTGTGTAATTAACTTTATGTAAATCTTTCCATAGCTCCTATAAAAAAATATGTCAAATCGAAAAATAAAATTTTGCTTATCGCTCAGCTCAGTTCATGATTGACATATTTGTATACATTTCTATATATGTACATATGTATGTAAGTAATTGATGTTGATAAATGCTTATACTATTTTAGAGGCGTTTTCTTTTTAGACTATTCTTATCAACTGCAAAAATTATTATTGGATGCTTTGATAGAAAAAGGAGGAAAATAAATTAAGACTTGAAATATAAATATACTTAATGATTACAAAAATTGTGTTTAAATTAGCCGTTAATAATCTTTATTGAAAGCAATAAATAGGGTTATACATATATGTGCGTGTATATATGTATAAAAGTATATACCCTTGTGGTCAGCGAATTATTGTTAGTGACATTTTGGCCAGGTTTGTTTTATTTAATGCTTCAATTAATTTTTAAAAGTCTTGCTTGTACAAATTCAACAAATTAAAAAACCTTAGATAATTTCAAACTTTTTATTCGGAACTAGCAAATACCTAGCGTGCTTCACTGTGCCTTAAAAGTATTTCTTTTTTGTTGTTTGATACCCGTAATAATATTCCATTTATTTTATCAATTTAATTGGAAATTTTTTTTTCCAACAGGTGGCAACCTTCAAAAATATTTTCGGCAGTAAATTTTCGTAACGAATGATGGAAGTCGCTTTTGGTTGCAAATTAAAAAATTCAAGAAACTGCGAAATGGAACAGAATATTCTAAAGCGATTAAAAGTACCAGAAGAAGCAGATATAGATCCAAATAAATGTTTGGCAAAATGATCAGAACGTCGAGCTGAGTCGATTCGAGTCAAGTCCATCTGTCTGTCTGTCTGTTTGAATGTTTGAATATAGTCCCTCAGTTTTCGAGATATCCGACTGACATTTGGTAAGCGATTGTATTTTTATAATGTATTAATCATTTGTCGGAAACGTCAAAATCGGACCACTATAATTTATAGCTGCCGCTGTGGAATTGCTCATATCCAATATAACTTACCTTCCAGAAAAAAACAATATTTTCCGCTGTAAGTCTTCTTAAACCTCTTTATTTTAACAGCCATATTTGGAATATTTACTTTATCTTATCAATTTACTTAAACTGCAATTTCCAAACAGGTGGCAACTACCAATTTTTTTATTTCTATATTTTAAGTTAGACCTCTAGAAATACATCGGTGAGAACTGCATTCAATTCCATGCATTCGTTTTCGAGTTATGCGCGTACAAACATACAGACAGACAGACAAAAATTCTAAAAAATTTTGATTTGGCTTCTGTTGTCTAAGAAAGCAATTGGAGAACTGTAACTAGTGCCCAATTAGAAGAAAAAAAATATTTTCACCCTGTGTATTTTAGGTGGTTAATGACTATTTCGTTGATCTTTATTTATGACACCATTACCATCTATTTGCACGCAAATAGGTAATTTGCTTTTGAAATGTACATACATATGCATGTATGTATGTATATGTTCATTAAGGTATCTCGCTAAAGGCACTTTTAAAAATTTTGATAATTTTTAATGTATTAACCTTCCATTTGATTCTCAATATGATCAATTAAAGAGGGGTGCTCCTATAACTTCAAACTTAAATAATCCAAAAACATACATACATAACTACATATGATCTGTTTATTTCAAAAGTGGCATAAGTCATTTCATGCCGTTTGGCTTCAGTGATCATTTACACGTATCTATATGCGTCAGTCATTCATTCAACTCCTTCAACAGCCAAAAGTTTTGTCATTAGTTTATGACGGTAGACCAATTTATAGATGCATTCAGTTATAAGCAACCAACCATTTAAGCACAAGAGTTGGAAATGACTTATGCCACTTTCAAAATAAACGGCTCATATGTAATTGGGGCAATGAGCATCGATGAGATTTGTAAGGGAACGCATTGGTACCATAACGGCGCTTCTGCTTAGGGGCTACGAATACCAGTTCTTAATACAAAGTAACGAGTACATATCGCACACCGTCTTCAAAAGAGTCACAACTCAAAATTTGGCATTTTTGAAATTATGCGCTAAAAATGTACACAGAACTTTTATTTACCTTTCAGCAAAAGCTGGAGCAAATTTTTGTTATAATTAAAACAAAAAAAAAAGTAAGGTAAAGTCGCATTTTCTAAAAATTCTGAATAACAAGTTTGAAGTTTTTGGATAAAATCTGTTGAATTCTTACAATATTTATACAATATTTGAAATGTGGATTAGCATATGTCGAGCACTAACAGCGAACATTTTCTTTTAGAATAGAAATGCTCCTAGAGCCTATAGATGCAAATAAAAAATTAGTAAACAGTAAAAAACAAAGGAAAAATTGCCAAAACTGGTCAAAATGTCGAAAACCTATTCATTTCTTTGTCCATGAGTGTATGTATGTACATATATGTATGTATGTATATGCGCACGTCACACTGTGAACCATCAAGATATTAAATTTTGTATTTTTGAACAAAATTATACTAAACGTACTGTGTTTTCCTTTTTAGGAATTTTAACTCAAACTGCAATATTTCGGCTCATTTACATATCGAGCCCTAACCGCCAAAAAGACGTATCCGACGTTTTTTTTTCAAAATTTTCTTTCTGACGCAGAAGTTTTCCACCACTATCTGGATGCATTTCTGCATCAAAATTACGTCTTTCTGGCGGTTCGAGCTTGATATGCATTCGAAATATTCCTAAACATCGCTTTAAAAGAAAACGACATCGTACATTGGTCTGCGAGGCCATATTTTACCCGAAAAATTATGCATTCGAAATATTCCTAAACATCGCTTTAAAAGAAAACGACATCGTACATTGGTCTGCGAGGCCATATTTTACACGAAAAATTAAAATATTTTATAGAATATTTTATTGTTGTAAACTGAACTTTGATCAGCAGTTATTTTTGAGAATATTAAACAGTTTTGTGTTCGGTGGATTCTTTTTTTTTGAATAAGAATGGCTTTATTCCAGCTAATTTATCACAATTTATAAATATGCTTTTTCGCGTAAAACAAGGCCTCTCCGACCACTGTGCATCACAACGAGTGACGTGGAATTGAGAAAGAATACTTGATTGGAGTAAAAATAAGTTATTTTTATCACATTAGGAAGCTGTAACTTTCTTGACATACATATGTATGTACATGCATATGTAAGTATGTGAGTATCAAGTTGAACTAACTCACTTTAACAAAACTTTTTTACTTTGAACAGTGGTAAAAAGTGCTTGTGTTTCAAATGAAATACATATATATATATATTTTTATTCATCCTTAATTACCTCCCATATGCTGATAAACAAACCATCCCATCGACACCACGTCCATGCGAAAGCCCAAACTGATGCAGGTGTAGATGAAATCACTCGGCGCCGCCCAATAGCCGCGGGTCAGGTCAGGCTTATAAGGTCTGCGACCACTATCATACGATGATTCGTAAACCATTTTTCGCACGGATTTTGCACTACGCGTTCACTAAGTATTAGTTTTTTATAGTATCTATGTATATGTATTTGATTGATATAATTTTATTAACAAATTTAATGCAAGTAAATAATTAATTATTATTATTGTTTTTTGATTTTGTGTTAGCTTGGAAGCGAAATAAAAATGGAACGCGACGACGAACGCGACGACTAAGCGCACTAAAATGAATGTCAAGTTTATGCTAAACTAAATTTTTGCTTCGCTTTGTCTAATTGCACAAAATGAATGTATGCCTGCACATTTGTTTGTGTATGTTTTCACTCATTTGCATGTAACTGCTATGTACATTTGCGTTGATAAAAACCACAAAATTCACTTTAAATAATTCTTCATAGTTTATTGTATGAAAAATGTAAAAGATATGCGATGCGAGTATGAGCAATATTTTAATTAAAACGTGAGCAACATTGCCGGTTAAATGAATAGAAAAGCCACACTAAATTAATACACTCGGATGTTCATTTTCATTTTTTTTTTTTTGTCTATGTGGGTGTGCATATATGTATGTGTGTGTGTGTGTGTGTGCGCGCGCGATATATAATCATATAATATTTAACTGTGCAATAATATTTCCTCCTACTGAGCTTTTGTTGCTCTTATTATTGTTTTTTGTTTTTTTTTTTTGTTGGATCGCTGATTACAGTTATATGCGCTTCAGTGTTGGCTATTTTGATTTTTTCCCCAACCCGCGTAGAACGCGCAGATCGAAATATTTATACTCTTGATCCCGTACGTATGTACGAGTAGCCCGTAGGATGTAATTAGCTGCAGCAGCTCTGGCGCATAACTAAAACTCGTTGATCATTCAAAACGTAACATTGCATATTGTACATGCATTGGTTGTTTAAAATTATATTATATTATGTATGTATGTATATTGATAAGTATTTAGCACTTTTCAAAAGGACGTACAGCCGTGATACCGTTAACATACATACAAGCGAATGCAATTTCCGAAATGCGATTAATTTTCGTGAACTGCGAAGTGCTATCAGCAAAAATTTTTGTTGATCTGAAGGTCAAGGTTTTTACACATTTACAGTTGGACTAGTATATGTATCTATCTACATAGATGCGCGTATAAACAATTAATTAGAATACATAAAAATATGCATTTTTAATACGTCAATACGAAGTTAATTGTTGTTGTTGTGCCACCACCAAACACACACGCCTGTCAATCGTTTGCGACAAATCTGTACTAAATAAGTAAAACGTATCAAGAAAATTCAGCATATCTGTGAGTTTTCACTTGCACTTCATGCATATTCACAAGCATAAGCAAATCAAAACAAAAATTGAGAGGCAAATGTATAAAAACAAACGAGTGATGCGCGTGGACAATTTGTTAAGTTTGCATCTGTTTAGACACGGTTGTACAAATACATAATCATACATATGCATGTCGCACCTAAAAATATCTTTTATTTTTGTATCAAAGTTGATTGCAGTAAGACGCCGCACAGTGTGTGATTTTAGAAAACAAGGAACTAAATCAAATATTTAGATAACGAGCTGAGATAGCGAAAAAAATTAGGGGTGTTTTAAAGCTTTTGCAATGTAGAATGGAGGAAAAATATTCGCGATGTATAAAATAATTAATTTGAGCATTAAAATTATTTATTTATTTATTTATTTTTATGAAATATACATAATTATAAATAATTACATTACATTTGATACGGCAACTAGTAACAGGACTATCGGCCTGTTATGTTAATAGGTTTTATTATTAATAGGTTTTAATTTTTTTTACATGAAACCAGTATGGAATAAATTTTTTAAAGTTTCAAACACATAAGTATATTATTATATATTTAATGCTGTTATTGCGTCAAGGAATCCATTTCTGTGGTCTTAAAAAAAACGCAAATTTTTTTTATTTAAAAATGCATGCTGTTTTTAGGTAAAAACAGTTTTGTGGTAAAGGTAATTTTTCAAACGTAAAATGTAAAATTTTTTCCCTTTTTTTGAGCTGAACCCAATATACAATAACCTTTTTACAAGTTTTAAACATTTCTATGATCCCATGATTCTTTAAGTTCGTTTTAAGGTACAAAAAAAAAAAACAAAACAAAGCATAAATTTGACTTTTGAAGGTCAGTTTTGAGGTCGAAGTAATATTTCATTCAACTCCACCTTTAAAGAACCTTTAAAAGCAAAATAAATATTTAATTTGTTTGTCTTTTTGCGACCTAAAAACAGCTTGTAATGAACTTATATAAAATAAAAAAAATAAAAAAATTAAAACCTACTCTATTTTGGGGTCAAGGTGATTATTTTAATTTCTTTAAATTTTTTCGTTTAAATACCTCTTCTCATTCTCGAGATATTTAATTTTGTAGCTTTTTTCCAAAATCGTACACTGTGCACCGTAAGTAAAATCTGCAGCTAAAAATGGTCATAGACAACACAATATTGTAATGGATAATTCATAAGATGTTATGAGAGAAAGATATGTACATACACACATACATATGTACATACTTCAATAATTTGAAAGGGCACAGAAGATTAAAAAAGAGTACGTGCGCCTGGGCCGCACCCCGGAAGTGAAACTTCTCTTCATTAATTTCTTAATCGTTCCATAATATGTTTCGATCTACTGAACTTAACATAACATACGATAACATAACATAACGTAACAATAGGTTGAGTGATTTTAAATCAATTATGTTTGTGATTTGATTCACCGTACACTTGAGAAATAAAATTTGGTTTTGATTTGCTTCGCTGAGCTGAGATGAGGCTAGGTTGTATGAGTTGAAGTGTGCTAAGGTGAGTTGAGGCCAGGTAGGCGAAGTAAGTTCAGGTGAGTTGAGTTGAGTTGAATTGGGATATGATGAGTTGAGTTGAGTTAAGGTAAGCTGAAGTGAATTGAACTGAGTTAGTCACTACTATCGATAGTTTTCCACCTCTACCGAACGGCGATTGTATTTTTATGAGAAGCTGTTTTTCGTGGCAGAAATACACTCGGAGGTTTGCCATTGCCGCGGTTAAGAAAAAACCTTTTTCCTATATTTTTTGCGATGTTGCTTTGACCAGGGTTTGAACACAGGTGCTGCGGAGTGCAAGCGCGCACTGCTTACCACTACGCCACAGTGGCCGACGTAATATATATTTACCTTCACCTTTATTCTTATCAGGTTTGGTTTAGTTCTGCACTAGAACAAAATGTAATGTCAAGAACGTTCCCACAAAAGAGCCAAATGGGAACAAATGTATTGAGAGGAGTTGGAACGGGAACAAAATGCGAACAAACGGCTCGGGAAGATTCTCAAGAAGAACGAAATGAGAACGAAACTTCCGGGAACGTTTCCAATGAGAACAAAATAAGAACGAAAGTATCGAAAAAGTTTTCAAGGAGGATCAAATAAGAACAAAGCCTGGGGAACGTTCTGCTAGAGATTAAAACGAGAAAAAACGTTTTAAGAATTTAACGTTAAGTATGAGACGGGCGTCTTCATGTTGGCATGAAAAATCGTTTCACTGAGAACCATGATTGTTAATTCTAAGCCAAATCTGGATCATTAAAATATCCAGGTCATTTATAATTTGGATGAACTATCCATTTTTCATGTTATGTGCAAGAAATGTTCGCATCTTAAGACTTTCGTTGACTTTATTTGCATAGTTATTTTCAGCTCCTTTTTAGATTAATTTTAATATTCAAACATTTCAAACTAATAGAACGCTATGAGAAAAATTGTGTTCTCGCTTCCATTCTTCGCGAATAGTTCAGAGAGGATTTTTTCCCCGGTTTGTTCTCTGTCAGAATGTTCCTGAGACATTAGTTCCCTAACTGTTTTTCGAGAGAAAGTTTCATGGACTTTTGTTCCCGTTTCGTTCTTTGGAGAGATCTTCACTATTACTCCACCTCTGGCGAAGCTTTTTTATGGTAGAAATACACTCGGAGGTATATGCCACTGTCTGCTGAGGGGGCGACTGCTACTTGAAAAAAGATTTCAAGGGCAATCTGAAAAAAATCAGAAAAATGCAATTTAAAGTATTCAAAAAAGGAAACTTTTTCACTGATTTTTATTGGTTTTACTTTTGATTTACAAAAAACTTTGAATTTAGTTTTATTTGAATTTTTGGTCATGACTTCATACCAACTAAAGCATTTTCACTGTATGAAAACTATGTAAAGTACAACCGGTTCATCCAGTTTTCTCTTAATTTGAAAATCGGTAACAGGTTTTTTTTTCAAACTGCAATTTTTCGGATAACTCGAAAACCGACTTTGGAGAAAATGCGAATAATCGAACACCCTAATTTTAATGCTCAGAATATACAATTGTTTACCACTGCAATAGGTGTTTTTATTTGTAAGTATACTACATATACATAGCATATATGTATGTGTGTTTACATACATACCCTGCAGGGAAACCGCGGACTAGTGAATCAAATTTCTAGTTCCGTACTAGGTCTTTATCGCCAAAAACGAACTAGTCCGATATGAACTAAATCCCCACCAGTCCAAAATAGGAGAAAAGTGGTACTTTTAAAAAACTAATTTATTTCAGTTTTTTCAATAGAAATCGATATCTAAAGTGACGAATTTAGAAATGGTTCGGAACTATAGAAAAAGGGATGCAGAACGAACTAGATCTTATTTGTCGAATTTAGAACTAATTCGGAACTATCGAATAAGGGATGCAGCGGGGGGGCTTGTTTACTTTACATAGATATGTGTTTGGCGGCTTTTTCGTTCAAATGCGCTTCTATTCTGCGCTTCGCAGATGCATTTTCATAGCTTGGTAATACAAAACTAAAATTTGTGTTAACATTTCAACATCTTGGGACCGTCTGTAATCTAAGAAATAACAGCGAGCACCTCTGCAAACTCAGCTACAGCTAAAGGTATGTAAACCTACATTTCTTACAATCATTCAAACAAATTTAATTTCAAATTGAAAACAAATTTCTTCCAAAATAACTTAAAGTCGCGCCACGGATGAACCAAAAAGATTAAAAAATCATGATACTTTTTTCTTTCGTCTATCGATTTCAGAACTGGTTCGGAACTATAGAATTTAGGACTAGTTCGGAACTATCGAAAAAGGGATGCAGCGGGGGGGGGCAATTGACACTTCCTAGGACATCGCCATGTTAAATTCGCCAGTTGCTTGCATGCAAAAGAGATTTATCGCGAACCAGTACTAGGTAAATATACTAGAAGCGCCCCAGTTCAGAACTAGAGATTTTCCCCACAGGGTACATACATTTATGTATACATATGTATCAACTGAGAGTGCGACTATTCGTGAGATGCAACATTATAGCGGAGGCTTATGAGATTATTGCAAGCGATATTTTTGTTTAAAATCAAAATAATTACTGTGTACAAATTTGTTGAAAACAAAATAAATAATGAAAACAGAGAAAAAATGAAAATAAAACCATCCACAAATAATGTTAGAGTATTATTATAACAATACTGTATTAGCAGCTCAACACATGATACAAAAAAGAAGGTAGTAGTTTCATTACTACTATTTTTTGATTATAAAGCAGATTTTTGACATTTATCCAGATGTAAACATTAAGCATAGCTTTGCCACATTGAAATTTTCCGATAGGGGAGATTTTCTTTTAAATATTTAGGAGTAAAATTTACATACAAACAATAGTAAGTTGATGTGTTCGATAATCAAATTCGAACGTTTTTCACAAACGTTTAAAAGAGTCTTTGAATAATATCGATGTGCAGTGATGAAGAAATAAAATAAAATCTAGTTATGAAATATTTGTTTATTAAAAAGCTGTTTTTCATTTTATTTTAAACAAAGAACTACTGCCGTGTGCGGTACGAAAGATTTCTCTACAACACGTA